CACACACACACACACACACACAAACCTAATAAACAAAAACTTGCCATTTGAACGTAGGGTTGCAATCTTTAATATTCACTGTGTGTGACATCATGATGGAAGAGCTTCGAGGGGCTTTAGGACCTAGCGGTGTACTGCAACTGAGAGCTTCCAGGGTACATCATAATGGCTCTGTGTAAATTGTCGTGTTTACCTGAGCGCGGCTGAAGACGAATTCAGAATCGAACCTATCTTTTAGTGTTTATGCCTCGATAGTATATCATCAGTGGTGGTAGGGAGCGTGACTGTGCTTGCGGCTCGCTTGATACCTGCCAATGGAGCACATCCGGCTTCCAAAGGTAATCTGAATCCTCATTTCCGCAATGCACCCACTGACATTCACCCCTGTAAAGCCGTCACTCGGTCTGTCGGTTTCTACTCCGCGATATCGGACAAACGCGGCGAGAGCCACGTAGACTAATCGCCGGGGGCGTTTGAGTGTACACTGTATCAGGGCAAGCCACTCCACGGCTAACGCTCCTATAGGAATGGGAATGACGTCATTCGGGGGCAACGATGGTTGTCTGATTCTTCTTCTGCGTCAACCAGGTGGAGAAGGTCAGGCTACTAGACAGAGTGTTCACCAAAAGAAGCAGGTTGGGCACCCTCTATCTGACGGCGACCCACACCATCTTTGTGGAGAGTGAAGGTGGAATGCGCAATGAAACATGGGTAAGTTACCAATGGATGCATGGAAGGGGATAAAGGTAAGTCCAATTTATTTCAAAGACAAAATTATCTCATGTGTGTTCTTTCCTCGACATTTGCAAGCAGAGACTCTTCATGTATTTTTGTCTTACCAGGTGCTTCACAGTTTGGTTTTCAGCGTGGAGAAACAAGCGACCACGCCGTCTGGATCTCCTTTGTTGATACACTGCAAAAACTTCCAGGTTCTTCATTTTGTCATACCTCAAGAGCGAGAGTGCCATGATGTACACGTGTCCCTGTTGCGTCTCTCCCAACCAGGTAAATTGCTTGTTATTGCTTGCCACCAAGCATGAAAGGACCTGGGGTGAAAAAAAAAACAAATTTGTGTACATCAGTCGACACTTACTCTGTAATGACAGTTAGCACCACAGAATTAGAGAATAAGACAGAGCATCTACAAAACACTTGACTTGATCAACACAGGGAACAGTAAATGATCTAAAATACAGAGGCCCCTGGCTATTCGCAGGGGAAAGGGACCAGCAATAGCAAACATCTGCTTAGAATCGATGTCCATTGAAATGCTTTGGAGGGGAAAAAAAAATAAAAAATTGTTCAAAAACATTCCATATGTGTTTTTCATTACAAAGCTCCTCGATGGTGCCTTATGAAAACGGCCATGTATCAGCAGGGCTGTTAATGATGCAGGACTTCAAATTAAATAGTTACAAATCATATTTGTGTCATTTCTTCATTATTTTAGTTTAAATATTCTGATAATGTTCTTTGCTGAGTGTCCGTTCCATTTAGGGCAGACCTTCACGCTAAAAAAAAAAAAACAAAAAAAACAAAAACTTGATTACACCGGCTCATGGTTACTACACTGAACCAACAATCTGTTTCTAAGGTTTACACTTCAGCAGGCTGCTATTTCTCGAATGCATTTGGCCACATAAAGAAAAATGTTTAAAGTTATGATGGTTCTTCACATGCACTGCTATGGCCTAACCACAACAATCGCGGTAGATTAAAAATGGTTCATTGATCTTTGATTTTGCTTCTCGAGCTGACATTTATCCACCTTGATTTACCTTGTAGAGCATTATGATGAGCTGTATTGCTTTTCATATAAACCAAACGTGGATGAGAAGGAGAGACGCCAGGAGTGGGACTTCTTGGACCTCAAAGCTGAGTACACCAGAATGGGAATCCCAAACTCCCTGTGGAAACGCTCCTTAGTCAACCAGCACTACAAAGTCAGGGCACTGAGATTTGCGAACAAGCAAATGATCTTCATACTAATGTCGACCTTGCAAAAACAAAGTTTTGTTTGTTTTTGTAGGTGAGTGACACTTACCCTGCCGAACTTTTTGTACCCGAGTCAACAACTCCATCAGTCATAACCGGAAGTTCCAAGTTCAGGAGCAGAGGAAGATTTCCTACGCTTTCATACTACTACAAGGAAAATCGTGTAAGTGGATGGCATGCATTTCTTTTTGCTTTATGTGCGACTCCTCATAAGGGGTTTTAATTGACTGAACACAAATCCTCTTCCTTCTTACGAGCGGTGTCGTTACAGTAAGTTGCCCGACGGGGCAAAACGCGTGTTTAATTGAAACAGCTTGGTTTGTGATTTCTTCCTTCAAACGTTCTGATGACTGTCGTATGATTGACCATTCTTATGGCTGTCACGTTTGCTCTTATATCGTTTGGTCAAGTGTGATATCGTGTCTTTTTGGGGGACGTTTTGAATGAAGGCTTGTCCAGCGTTCTGATGAAATATCTTAACATCTTCTTCTAGTCAAATCGCAGGGGCCCGTATGACTCTTGAGAGAAAGCATCTTGGCCACATGTATGCTGATCAGCCTTAATGCTCATAAATCATTCTATTAGCTCTTAACACAACAGTTGGGAGTGCTTTATGAGTGTAAGGTCAACTTCCCAGGGTTGAGGGTCCAGTGTGTGAAGCTCAAAAACATTACAAGTTTGGTTAATGGGTCTGAAGGGAGAACTGAATAATAATTTGTGGCCTCGTCTCCAGTGGATAATAACTGAAGTAATGAGAAGATTATTCCTCTTAATATGCACGTCAAGAAAAAGTGCTTCAAATGTTTTTTTATTTGCACCAGCGTCATTGTTTGGTGCGAAAGCATCCATACGTGAAGCTTCCTCTCACCTCCTCCCAGGCTGCCATCTGTCGCAGCAGCCAACCTCTTTCAGGCTTCAGCGCTCGTTGCGTGGAGGATGAGCAGATGCTGGAGGCCATACTGAGGTCCAATCCCCACAGTGACTTCATGTATGTGGTGGACACCAGGCCCAAGGTGAGCCCCATGGATGGAAAGAATGCCTTGTAATAATACAAGTCATGCAGTATTGCGGTGTATGTCCAGGTGGGCTTTATTTTCCAAACAGCATTTGCAGCTGGATCTGCTCCTAGATAAACAGTGGGAGAATCTTGGCTCTTGTCTCGGAACACTATGATCAGTAGTGTGTTGCTGTCATTGGTCCAAAACATCAAAAACAAACAACAAATTCATCTTCTAACAACCAGCCAAATATCTTTGCAGTTAAATGCGATGGCAAATCGAGCAGCGGGAAAAGGCTATGAAAATGAGGACAACTACTCCCACATTAAATTCCAGTTCGCCGCCATTGAGAACATCCATGTGATGAGGAACAGCCAACAAAAAATGCTAGAAGGTACAATGATCCCGAATTCTCACAGAGGCTTTCATGCCGGGAATGTTCTGTTGGCAGTGCACTCGTCGCTGCTTCTGAAATGTTTTCATCACTTCATTATTTATGGAAAAATGTACGATATTTGGCATCATCTTTCGAACTCTTGTTATTTTCACATGACTGAAAGCTCTGCGCAACCCTGTGTTACCCCTTTGGCTTTCGGACGCACTCAGGCAGATTGCGCTGCACTGTGCTGCAATCAGGCCTCAATTGAGCCCACAGGAGAATTTCTGGGTATTGTGTCGGGGTGATCCCAGGAAGACTTTGAATCCATCTGGGTTTTATTTCTGAGCTATTTTGGTTTCCTGGAGTGCACAATCTGTGACCTACCCCCAAAGTAAAACTGAGGGCGTGAGAATGATGTGGTTCCGAGTCTGAAAAGTTGTAGCTGCTGTCCACTTGTTATAACTCTTTGCCTCCTGGAAGCTCTTAAAAGGTTGAGACAAAGCCTCTGCCCTCCCATCTCATGCTTGAATACAATTTTAAAGACCCCCCGGCTTCCAGCATCGGCTTAAGTGTTTCATTTAGGTAGTGGCTTTGCTCTCTCCTACATGAAGTTATCAAAGTCATGATGAACTTGTTCACCTGCTCTCCCCCTCCTTTCACTGCCCCGAGAACATACACAAATCTGCACAATTTCCTGGTGCTAGTGAAAATAGTTACGTTCCAAAGGTGGGTCTCAAGTACTGAATGATTTTTAGAATTGCTAATTTGCCATTAAAACAACAACAACCACAACAAACATGGGTATTGTGGCAATAAACTGTGTTTACAAAATTGTAAGTGGTAAAATATGGTACATGTACACAAGCAGGGACGTACTGCGACCAAAATGCTGTCAGCGAATATTGGTTGACAGGTGGGTGGGTGATTGGAGTTTGTTGGACAGCGGCCAACATGTGGCGATTCCTCATGGTCAACGAGGATTTTCCCGGCCATTCGGGAAACTGTCGAAATTCCCGACGGCCACCGTGCCCCTGTACACGAGGAAACGTACGTGTAGTTGTAAAAAACAGACTGAATAACACACAAATCTGATCCAAATTGAATCTGAAGAAATGTTGTTGTTCTGCTATATATTCAGCATTAAATATTTTGTTTGGATGGGGCATAGTATGCAAAATCTACTTTGTAATTGCTTCTACACAAAAACTCGGGGGAACTGAAATTCTTTCCACTCATCAAAACTGAAAAAGTATGAACACACTTCAAGGGAATCTTAGTTCCAGCTTTTGCTCATTTAAATAAAACTGATCCCAAACCAAGTTTTGCCGAGCACTTGGCAGCTTGGGTGGACAAAGATCATCCATTTTCAAGTAACGGCTGAGCTCCATGAAAACACTATCAAGTCAAAGACATAATCTAAGCAGAGCTGCATAAGCGAACATTCTTGTCGGCATTGGCTTCAGATTAAAGGCACACATTGTTGTTGGCATGGTGATTGGTTGGTGTTTGTTTGGCGATGTCTTCTGCATGTACCATGCACTGTAAAACTGACATAATGGAAGTTACCATTGATAATTATAAACCTTCAAAGAGCTGCTACTCTAATACATGTGGAGCAGCAACACATACAAACAGCATGCTACAATACCCTGTGAGAACAACGAATACTAAAACAACAAATGGTGAATGAGCTCAGTGCCGCCCAGCTTTCCTTTGAAAATCAACGATACAGCGGAAACAAGTAACGAAAGCAAAGCAAATTTGAGTTGTCTTCAATGGAATGAGTCAAAAGAAGCATTCCGTCACATTTAAAGAAACGTGTCTGAAGCAACAACAAATGTGCAGATGTGTGTTGTTTAACTCATTCACTCCCAAAGACGCATTTAGATGTCTTTTCAGACGCCACACATTTAATCCCAGCTCCTCATTTTGTCTTGACTGTACTTGAAAAGGGTCTGAAAGTCAACTGGCTGGCCATTTTCAGACCCTTTTCAAGTACAGTCAATATAAAATGTGGAGCTGGGATTAAATGTGTGGCGTCTGAAAAGATATCCAAATACGTCTTTGGGAGTGAATGAGTTTTAATAAAGTCTAGTATTCTCAGTGTTTCCTGCCGCTGAGACAGCTGTGTTGTGAATGCAGTGTGTGAGCTGCGTTCCCCTTCGATGTCTTACTTCCTGGAGGGCCTGGAGAGCTCAGGCTGGCTGAAGCACATCAAAGCTGTTTTGGATGCAGGCATCTTTATTGCCAAGGTCAGGCTGCAGTTTAATCCCCCTTGTCTTCTTCACTACTACTCAGAATATTAGCTCGAGAGCGTTTAATTTACTTTCTGAGTTGATACATAACACAATTTGCACAATCATGCCGTACAAATATGATATTAAAATTTGGGCTGCTCAGCTGTTCCATGGCCAATTGCCAATGGAACTGGTTCCCCTGTATTTATAGATGTGTCTGCTAACTAAATCAGCAGGTTGAAGTCTGAAGTGTTTCAGGAATTATCATCTGCTAATATTCAGCCCAATGCTTCAAAAGTCATTGGACGGCACTTCACAGTGCAGATGGACAATGGCCTGAAGCACACTGTGAAAGCAACTACAGATTTTTTTTAGGGCAAAGACATGGAATATTATGCAATGGCCAAGTCTGATTGTGTCGATACAGTCATCACTTGCTGAAGATAAAATTGAAGGGACGATGCCCCAAGACCCAGCTCGAAATTTTCCTGTGTGTGTGTGTGTGTGTGTGTGCGCGCGCGCATGCGCGCGCGATCGCGCGTATGTGTTACAGGCCGTTGCAGAAGGTGTCAGCGTCCTGGTTCATTGTTCAGACGGTTGGGACCGTACTGCTCAGGTGTGTTCTGTGGCCTGCGTCCTTTTGGATCCATACTACCGGACCATCAGAGGACTCATGGTACAGACCGACTTTGTAAAATAGACATATTGTAACTATGGTTTATAGCATGGTGGGGGTGGATGCATGGAATGAAGGAATGGCTTTGACATGCAGTATTGCATTACAGATACGTTCCATTGCCATATTCAGAACCAAAGTAAGAACAATCTATACTAGCCCAACCTTGACACACAGCAGAAAGCGGAGCAAACAACGGTGCTTCCACGGTGCGTCTCAGTGAATAGTGCGTGATTTGTGGTGGACAAAGAAGTGAGATGTGATAAGGAAGACTCCGTTCTTCTTCTTCTCTTGCCTTGCCGCCGGGTGTAGATAATAAGTAGTACAATCCAGGCAAAGGATATCGGCAGCGTTAATTACATTTTTGACATGCGGCTGGGCTGACCACTAAAAAACAGACACGGGCCTGCAAATAACCTCTGGGGATGAGTTTAGACACCGGTGCTCTAGTCCAACCCATTGGTTGATTTTAGTAATTAAGAGTTGTGTCTCAATGCTTGTGTCCATAATAGCTTGTTTTCCCTCACCTGCAGGTATGAGATGTTACCATTCCCATCCCATATGATAATATTTTCCGTGGTGGTCATAATATTTTAACATGCTCATAACATGACTTGGACATGTCTTTTTGTAATTAGGTTCTCATCGAAAAAGACTGGGTCTCATTCGGCCACAAGTTTTCTCACAGGTTTGACTGATGATTGGTTTCTAAGCATGATCCATTTTATCTTGTGGTCTAGTCTAACACTCCTCACTTCTTATGCAGATGCAACCACCTAAATGGAGACCCTAAAGAAGTGTCTCCTGTTATCGATCAGTTCTTGGAGTGTGTGTGGCAACTGATGGAGCAGTTTCCATGTGCCTTTGAGTTCAATGAGCGGTTTCTAATCACCATCCACAGCCACATCTACTCCTGCCAGTATGGCAACTTTATTGACAACAACCAGCGGGGAAGGGCAGAACTCCTGTAAGAGCTTTTTTTCCTGCTTTTAGCAGTGTAGACATTTCTAGATGTTTTCTTGATTCAATTTAATTTCACGTCATGCAGACTTTGTGAGAAGACCCATTCTCTGTGGCATTATCTGTGGACAAACCGGACAGACTACACCAACCTTCTGTACAGACCAGACCACAGCCACACACAGGGACTCCTTCGGCCATCTACCGCCCCCTGTTGGTTCAAGTATGTCACACCGTTTATCAAACGTTTCGCTCGATGGAAATGGACATGATCCATCCTAAAGTCAAAACATCAAATGTAGCGACGAGATTTTAAACAACTTTTGAACATTTTTAACTGTCATACAAACGTTGAATTCAACAGCAACTTTTTGTGCAAGTAAAGGTTTGGACACTTTAAAACCTCACGGGTATTTGAATTTGTTCGACAGTATTTTTTAAATGGTTTGCCAGTTTGTAATTCAGTAGGAAGACTTAACAATGTGCGTTGTTTGAGAATTCAAATCATATTAACAGTGGAAGCATGGTTTTATCCCTTTGACAAGAAAGTGATAACTTATTGTCTTGTACAGATTTTGGAGGGGGCTGTACAACCGATTTGACCGTGGGATGCATCCTCGTCAGTCTGTAGAGGATTACCTGCGGGCCATACAAGAGGAAACTGAACAGTTAGAGGAGCTGCTCGCCTCACACAAACAGGTAAAAGTTTCATAATTGTAAATATTTTCATTATCTTGATAGCTTTAATGCTGAAGATTGTTTTGTCTTCCAATATCAATAGAAAATTTCTCAACTGAAGGAGAAGCAGGTGTGGAATTGTACCCCAAAATCAGCCACCCTTAATAAAAGCCCCACAGCTTGGGTTTTTGGTCATGATCTCGGCCTGGCAAACACCCCTCAAGACTACATGTCAAGCTTCCTGACCATCAGCCCCTGTCATCTAAAGACACCACGTAGCAGCCTGACCCTCTCACCCCAAGATTTAAACAAAACATACGACTCCAGTCACTCCAACGGTAGTGATCAAGAGTCTGGTATAGCGGACCTGAGCTGCCGTTCACCTTTTAGAGAGAGCACCAGAGATCAAGACTCTGACAATGCTGTATAAACAAATGTAGCATGGAATGGAAGGTGTGGCAGCTGCCATGTGACCAAGGCCCCACACCGCCATTGACCAAACACTGCCTCTATGCACTAAAAATACAGGCTTTTAGCAAATGTCAGTCAAAACAATTTTTTTGTTATGCACGTGGAGTGGCCGACGCTCCCTCTTGCCACATAAACTAGTTTGTTTGCTGTAGTTGACCACATTTTACTTACACACTATGAAGAGATTCATTGCTCTTGTCTGTAATGTTTGGGGACCGTATTAAAATGTGCAGACAGAATGTAAAATATTGAAGTGCATCATGGTCCTCTTAGGCCGTTTTATTGGGTGCCGTTCTGCACTCTTAAAACATTATTACCCCTGAGTGAGCTACTCCAACACATCCTTTGGTGTTGAAGTGGATGTGAAAGTACATCACCCCTTTCACAATGGTCTTCCATATTTTGATGTATCAAACATCTTAGCAGTGTAAACACACACACACACACACACACACACACACACACACACACACACACAAATACAGAGCTAAATAAGAGCTGATGCACAGCTACGAATGTGAAGCACTTGACATCAATCAGTGGAGGAGCATGTTGAGTTAGAAAAGCTTTAGAATAGAATAAACATTAGAATAAAGGTCCAGGTCAAACAAAATCCAGCTATGATGCAAGGTAAGATTCACATTATGCTGATTGGCATGTGGGAATTGTTGTTTACATGTTTTGTGGTACTTCAGTCAGTGCGCTAGGCTGAAGAAACCGACTTCTTGAATAAAATGTGTTTCAATGGGACAAAAAAAAAATACTTTGACTGAACACGGCTACAGTAAAATTGTCAGCTGCAGACACTGTAAAGATGAAGATGTTTTGTTAATATGAGCTGTGCACACTGATGATGGATGGAGTCAACAGTTGAGAGCATGTCGTGTCACACTCGTGTCTGCAAATCAGGTGTATTACTGTTCTGTACAATCCTGCCAGTGAACAATTCAGCATGCAAATATATTTTTGTACCTTTATTTATATATATATATATATATA